CGCTGGATTGTTTGAAGTTGATGAGATCGATGAATTTGCCGAAGTTGACATTCCCACGTCACTCGACGGTCAACGTTTCAATTTTCCCTTTGTCGACCATGCTACATAGTGAAAGACAAATCCATCTCTGGATGGGCTTGCATCCACACACATACAACATTAATATACACACGAAAGTGCTATGACTTACACTACTATGTTTGTTCAGGTGTTTGAAACCCATCAGGAGTTTGAAACTGCACATTATCTTGCCTTCCGCTTACCTTAGGATCTTGTAAATTTCAGGGAAGATGTATTTATGCATGAGATTTACTATTCCAAATTTTCAGAGGGAGATTCGAAGATTTGTGCTCTGGAGGCATGACTTTGTGCTTTTCATTACACCAACCAAACAAAAGTATTGGAATGTTTTCTCAGATCCCTTTGGATCGGCTAGACTGTTTATTCTGAAACTTTCCAAGTACATTTAAATTGTATTTGAAAGTCTACCTACAAATTTCTAGAGGGGGAGATGAAGTGCTCTCGGGAGGAAGGGCAAAATACCAAATTTTGCTCGCAAAACAGCTCGAAAAACGTGACATTTGCGTGACATTCGCACATCATCCATCAGCCAAATTCGTTGTTACCTAGTGTGACACGAGTTTCAATCTCCTGATATATCTGAACCCTGAGCACCGGAACGCCTCCGACAGCGAACACAACACATTTATACCAAAAAAAAGTAGATATTTATATAGAAGAGAAAAAAGATTATTGGCTTGTTAAAAATTTAAAGAATTCAATGAAGTGGTGAGGCAGAAATCGCGCAGCGGTGAAAAAGTTTCAAACACCTGAACAAACATAGTAGATACACAAACTATCGTGACATCCCTAGATGCTCTAAAACTCCTTCCCAACCCGCCTTAAAGAGACCCTTCTTCCCAACCCTCACACTACCCTGAAAAGGTAGCCCAAACAAATCTATCTGCCCTGTCGCGGTCTCAGGCCCACCACCCAAAGGCAGTCCGTGAACAGCAACAGTCACACCTGCCGATCCTTGGATACCAGCGCAGCCCCATCTGTGCCGAATATGACCTTGATCGACGATATGGGGATC